GCCCATTGCAGCTTCCTAAAGTTCTGTGATTTACCAAGTCTTTTGTAATAATTTCTAGACTTAGGTTTATAAGCAAAACATGGCAGACAGAAATAAAATGGTCTGGCAGGACAATGTTTAGCTATAAGTCAAAGCTTTAAACAAAAGCCAAAATATATAATAAACTACAAAACTTCATGTAGATCATGTGAAAAAGACTTAAAATGTGAAATATTAGCTTTCAGTCCTTGTGAACTACTAGAATTCAGTTAAAATGACTATAAATCAGGGATTCCTGGCGTGGACAAAAAGCTTAATGTTTGAGAGCGTGAATGAATTAAAAGACAGTCCCTAATTTGAGTCAAAGTTTTCTAAAGAACATAGGTAGATATAAGAGGATTTTTTTAATTTTTGGGTCACATCCAGTGGTGCTCAGTGGTTAGTCATGGCTCTACACTCATGAATTATTCCTGGTGGTGCTCGGGGGACCATATGAGATGCTGGGGATTGAACCCAGGTCAGCCACGTGCAAGGAAAACGTCCTACTCGCTGTACTATCACTCCCGCCCCCATTTTTTTTTTAATTGTAGAAAAACAAGTGAAAAGCCATGAATAAAGAAGTTCATCGGTGAATAAGCTGTAGTGACTGAAACACACCTTTTGCCCCTGCTTATATTATTTGCCAAGCAGATGAGAAAACTCCCAGGCAGGCCACATGAGCTACTACTTTGAGTACTTGCAATGCACATATTGCTGTCGTGCATGAGGGAATTCCAGTGGTTGAAGGCCTTGACATACCTAGACTGTGCCCTTCCATGCCTCAGTTCATTCCATAACTACCTATGCAACCTGCCTTCCAGCTGCTGCCATTCCTCACATCTGCCAACCTTGCTCATACCTTGGAGCTGAGACTATGCTTGTGCTCCTGCCTCATCCATGCTTCTTTCATGGTTCCTTTTCCCTACCCTTAAGAGAGGCAGGAGACTCCCTCACAACCTCCATTCATTAAGCTGGTTTCCATGAGAGTCTATCATTCTTCTGTCAACTTCAGTGAGCTCATCACAAAATCATTCAACTACATTCTATACTTATTCATTTCCTACTTATAAGCAAGCACTTTTTCAGGTTCCATGGAAGTAACAGTACAAAATAAAGAATAATTCAAATTGTATTTGTAGTTCTTACCTATTTTTGGTGTGTGTTGGAGGGTGGGCAGGGGTGAGTATTATCAGTATATGACCTCTGTATAAAGGAGGGACTAAGAGGAGGTAATAGGTTCAAGAATAAGAACCCCAGAGTCAGATAACCTGATAAAATTATGCAATCACTCTCAAACTCAATTTCCCAATTTGAAAAATAGACTCATGTACTTTTTATGTGGATTATTTAAGAGGGCTATATAAGTAGTCTGTCATTTGGGATAATCCCTTGGAAAAATATTTGGCACAGAGTAAGTCCTATAAAAATATTTATTAGAGTCATGCTTTTTGATTACTGAGCTGACACAGTACCTGTTAAGTAAATTAATACATTATGATGCTTATGGTTAGACTTGTTTGTAATTGGGTCAAATACATAAAGGGAAAGCAGATCAACAAGAATAAAATGTTCCTTTCCACCTTGAGCTCTCGTTGAAAGAAGCTTTTAACATACAGAGAGAATGTGACATTTTATGTCAACCCCAAGCTAAAGGCAGCATTCTCTTTGGAATCTGCTAGAAATTTTGTGGTTGTTTGCTACAGTAGGAAGTTCTGGGACTTTCCAGGAAGGAAGGGCTGTCAGGCCCAATGCTGACAGCCCTTCCTTCCTGGAAAGTCAACGTTACATGAAATGAACTACCTTTCCCTGGAGCTAATCGAGGAATCCCACATACTTTAGACCTTAATATCTATTTCTCCTATCCTTTTCTCATTATACATTGCCACAATTTCTAATTTTATATTTCCATCTATCATGAAGAACAAAAAAAGAGTTGTGAAAAAGTTAACTATAAACCGTCTTGATCATACTAACTCCCTCCAGCAACCATGAGCATGTACATGAAATGCACCTGAGTATTCAAAGCATAATACTATCAGGGAAGACATTAAAAGTGAGGAAGAATGACTAACATAACGCAATCAGTAAATAAGAGCTTCTGCCACTTATTTTCTAGGACCCTACTAAGTTCTGGTATTTTTGAAGATGCTATGGAAAAAAGACCAAAAATACAGGAAAGCAAAAGTATTGTGTCACAGATTTGCATTTAAGAAGTTCACAGTTATTTGAATCAAAAGCTCCATGGATCAAAATGAGAAAAATATTATAAATGAGCTCAATATGTGGTTGACATAACAATGGGCCCAAGTTCCAAAAATGTCTACATCCTAATTTCAGGCCCTGTGACTAAGTTAGGGAGCATGGCAAAGGGGAGTTAAAGTTGCAGATGTAATAAAATTACATTTTAAAATAGGGATAAAATAGGGATATTATTGCTCGATTTTGCTCGAGCGGGCCCAGTAACGTCTCCATTGGAGACTTTGTTGTTACTGTGTCTGGCATATCGAATACTCTCGGTAGCTTGCCGGGCTCTCCGAGAGGGGCGGAGGAATCGAACTCGGGTCGGCCATGTTGGCCGCTTGTAAGGCGAACGCCCTACCCGCTGTGCTATTGCTCCAGCCCCAGGGATATTATTATATCCCTAATATAATATTATATCCCTATTATATCCCTTAAAATAGAGATATTATTCTAGATTATTTGGGTGAGTCCAATGTAATCACAAGGGTCATTCTAGGTATAAGAGTGTTACTGAAAAAGACAAATGACAGAATTAAGGTCAGAGATATGCTATGCTTTTCAAATGGAAAAAGACATGAGACAAGGCACTCAGCTCAAGAAGTTGGGGAAATCAGCAAGCAGACTCTCCCTGAAAACTTCCAGACTCTCCCCATTTTGAGTCCAATAAGACCCTGGTTGAATTTCCAACCTGCAGCAAAGAAAGACAGTTAACTTGTTTATGTTCAGCCACTGGGTTTGTGGTAATTTATGGCTATGACAGCAGGAATAGAAGACTAAGATAATATACAATCACATTCCAAATTATTATCAGAAAATTAATTATGAAAAAGAAAGCAGGGTTGACTGAATTCATTTATTATAATTTTTGTTTGTTTGGAGGGCACACCCAGTAATGCACAGGGATTATTTCTGACAGTCCTCAGGGGGATCATAAGGGATATCACAAGGTGGCCTAGGGTATCCCTGGCAGCAGGGGCTGAGTAGCACCACATCCTTGGGTCTTGCACTGAATCACTAGTTGGGTTGGCTGGGAACTGTCAGGACTGGCCCTGAGGGTCTCTTGAGAGCCACTTAAGAAGCTCCCAATAAGTAAAACAAAAGGAAAAAAAAAAAGAAGTGTCTCTGGAAGAGTGGGATTTGAGGTTGCTTTTTTCATAATTCATAGAATACATAGAGTCAAGAATGAAAAAGAGGATACATCAAATCTATAAAATGATAAGACAATATGAGTTGGTTTACTAAATCCTAGATTACCAGAAGTCACCTCCTTGAAATTTGAAGAGGCTGTCTAGGGTACTGGCGACTGCATGCGGTACTGGGGACAGCGTGAGGTACTGGGACTTGAACCAGTGTCGGCTGCACAGAACTTTACCCATTTTACTCTCTCTCCCCTCTCTGATCCTACTACTTTGTTCAATATGATGATACCCTTTCAGTCTTAAAGGGACTAGAGCCTGAAAATAATTTAAAAAAAAAAAAACCTTTAAAATTTCAGATAAATTCGGGAAAAATCGGTCTATAAAGAAAGGGAAAGCAAGATGTTCAGGGTAAAAGGGGAGGCTCTGTAATATAGGAAATTTGTTTTCCCTAGCCTGAATGACTGATCCCTGCTAGAGTCGGGGCACCAATGTCCTCTGTGCTAACAGGAAGACAGAATGTTACTGTTCGTGATTGGAGGTGCCCTGGAGAAACTACAATTGCCTGAAGTAGCCTCTCCAGGGTTTTTGGCAGGCGTGGTGGGATGGGGTATTTCTTTTATTTTCTGTTGTTTTGTTTTTTTAAAGTTTACGAGAAAGGGTCTCATTCTTATCTTTCTCTGAGGAGTGGGCCTGAACCATGAAATCTTGAGCCGCTCAGAGCATCTTCCCTGACTGGTGGGCAGCTGTTCTTTTGCAGCACAGACACGAAATGCCTCTCCTTCCACAGAAATGTCCGCTCTCAGACTCTAGTCTCTGTTTCATGCCCCTCTACCTTCCTCTGAACTACTGAAAAGCACTCTTGTCTCAAGGAGCCACAAGGCAATGATGGGTGAAGTGACACCCCCAGTCTCAACCAGGTCTCCTAGGTTCTCACATTCAGTAACTCCTGGACCACATCTGCATGGATATGCAGGGGATATCCATTTGTGCCTGCTGTAGAACTCTGCCAGCCCTGAGGCCTGATCGTGGGGGGTGAGGGTGGCACTGGGGACACAGTGACAGTTGCTCTCACGGCAATGAAGCAATGAGTGCCCCGAACCAGGTGCTGAGAATTACTCAGCATTATCCTTTGAGTCTTCTGTCTCTAGGACTGACATGTGATCATCTGCTAAAAGACCTTGAGTCCACAGAGGGCTTTAAACCAGCAGGATTAGGGAACTGGGTATAACAAACCCCTCTTGATAGGGGAGTCAGACAAGACTTTTCAAAAGAGAAGGTAAGCTACCAACTTCATCCATTTGCTCTCCTGCGTAAATTGTCAGTGAGTACAAAATCAGCTGTAACTCATTTCAGACCCAGCCATGTACCTGCCATGCTTCCTTTTAAGGAATGACAGACTTAGAAATGTTTTAGGTTCGTAGCAGTTGTTCAGAGCAGATAAAGGATAGAACCAGCATGCTAGAATTTGACCATCACCTGGAGGAGGGCAGATGAACCTTTTCCACTGAAAAGTGTCACTGGAGCTCCACAGACACTGGGGTGGGAGGTTTCTCTAACCATTAGGCTGAGCCACCAATCTTCCAGGATTAGAATTTACAAAGAATACTTAACTGGCAGGGGAGACACCATGATCAGGAAGGTGGTTTTCCCAGGGAGAAGCTTATCCATTGCACTACAGATGTGCTGATCCCTGCAATTTCCCCAAATGTGGGAAACTTGACTGCATAATTTGTGGTAGTGGGGGGCTGCGCATGCACGCTCCCCTGGAAAAAGAAGAAGAAGAAGAAGGAGAAGGAGAAGGAGAAGGAGAAGGAGAAGGAGAAGAAGAAGAAGAAGAAGAAGAAGAAGAAGAAGAAGAAGAAGAAGAAGAAGAAGAAGAAGAAGAAGAAGAAGAAGAAGAAGGAAAAATAAATTACAAAGAAAAATGTTGAAAGGGCCAGAATGATAGTACAGTGGGAAGGTTGTTTGCCTTGCATGCAGCTGTTCTGGGTTCCAATATGGTCTCCACATGGTCTGGGTTCCACATGGACTCCCGAGCACCACGGAGTAATTCCTGAGCACAGAATCAGGAGTATGACTATCACTGGGTATGACCTGGGGGGGGGGGACGAAAAACATTCTGGAGATATTTTATGGAGAGGAGGGTGGGATGTGGAAGTCACACCCAGCTATGCCTGGCTCTGTGCTCAGGGATCATTCCTGGCAGGTCAGAGAGATCGTATGAGGCGCTGTGGATCAAAGTGACTTACCCACTCTACTACCTTGCTGACCCCTAATTCTGGAGACTTTTAAAGTATAATTTGTCCTTTGTATGATAGATAAGGTAACATAGTTATAATAGTGTTAATATTTGTGGCACTGGATGTAGTTATAGTACCCTCACCACCACCACCACAACTAAAGTGCTCAAGACCATCCACCACCATCAGAGACATTTGAAGTGGACAGTTTTGCCAGTTGAAAGCTAAAAGGGCAGTAGGAAACAAGTGATTGTATCATGTGGTTTCTGCTGCTTTAACAAAAGGGTTCCCTGGAAATGCAGAGCTCTGCCCTACATTGATTGGGATTTTCCGTGATATTCAAAGAACTTTGTTCTTTCATCCCTGCCACACCTCTTGTTCTTTCCAATGTTTATTTCTATTATCACCCACCCATATATGAGGCAATTTTGTGCACAATGCCTTTCCTAAAGCTTCACTCGGTTCTATTAACCTTTATGCAGTAATTTACAGCAAAGGTCTATCTAAATGGCACTGGTGCATGTAAACAGTATCTGTGGGCCCTGCCATCTGGAGGAGAGAACTGTGTTTAAATGATTCCAACACATTTGCTCAAGACACTATGGAAAGCTCTTGCCGAGGTCGCTGCAGGATATTATTTAGTTAAGTGCTACAGAAATTAACACTGCTTTGTAAGAGATTTTTGGTTGTGTTGAGATAGTCCTAGAGGCCTCCTTTCTTTAGTATCAGTCTCTGAACCGGTCATCAAAAAAAAATACAATTGAAAGGCTGACACCTCTGAAAGTTTCAAAATTCCCTGTGATTTGTCATCAAAGATAAATGGGTTCAGGAAATCTACATCTCCAGAGTGAAGGCAAAGAAAGCAGACATGCCTTACCCAAGTTGATACCATCAAACAAATTTCTCACATTTTTCTACAATCTTCCTCTTACCTTTAATCATGCACATCTTTTTTAAAGTCTAGCTTAGAATATTCTCTGAAATAGTCCATTGATACTTATAGAATGGTTTAGAGTGTCCTAGTGGCTCAGTCACACCATGACTCAAAGCTCTTCAGACAATTAAATACTTTTTTCATCTATTGTATCTGTCCATCTATCCACCTACCCATCTGTCTATCCACCTACTCATCCATCTAGCTAGCCATCCATCCATTTATGCACTAATTATGCACTAATAGACATGATGACCTATGTTTGTGAGCCCTCTGTTAAGATATAGTGAGATACAACTGTAGACAAGATGAATGCACTTCTTTTCCTTGCGTACTTTTAAAACTCAGCTAAGAAAAAACACATTCAAAAGGTAGTTCTAGAAATAATTATTCCATTTTGATCAGATAAGGACCCTCAAAGAAAAGTACTGGTGCACTGGGAAATGTAATAGTATTTGGGGCCTCATCTGGACATAGAGATAGGAAGCCAAGGAAAACTTCCCAAAGAAGGAACATTTATGCTTATTCTTTTATTTTGGGCCACATCCGACCAAGTTCAGGGCTTCCTCCTAGCTCTATGTGCAGGGATAACTCCTGGTGGGCTCAAACAACTATATTGATCTTAGTGCCAGGGATCAAACTCAGGTCAGCTGCATGCAAGGCAAGCGCCCTACCGCTGTACTATCACTCTGGCTCTCATTAGTGCTGATGGGTAGGGATTGATCAGGCTAATGGTGCGTGTGTGTGTGTGTGTGTGTGTGTGTGTGTGTGTGTGTGTGTGTGTAATGAAAGGAAGAAAGTGGGGCTGGAGCAATAGCACAGCAGGTAGGGTGTTTGCCTTGCACACAGCCAACATGGCCGACACAGGTTCGATTCCCAGCATCCCATATGTTCCCCCGAGCACCGCCAGGAGCAATTCCTGAGTGCATGAGCCAGGAGTAACCCCTGAGCATCGCTGGGTGTGACCCAAAAAGCAAAAATAAATAAATAAATCGATTCTTTAAAAAGAAAGGAAAAAAGGAGGTAGTGGTAGGCAAGAGAATCCAAGGAGCCAGATAAGCTGGGTTGGGTGGAGGGGGAGGAAAAAGCCCTGAGTGTGAAGGTCAGACAGAACAGGCAGGGCCAGCTGGTCTGTGTGGGGACAAGCTTGACCAGCAGGGGAAAGGGAAAAGAAAAACAACTGAGATTTTACTGTTGGAAGAACCTAGAAGGAAATAGTTGGGTGTTTTTATCTTAACCCCTGAGTCCCTATAAATATTTGAACCCACAGCTTTCTTTGGGGTTCTTAACCTAAATTCATCTAAACCTATCAGTCCTGTATTCCTGAGGCCAGGCTCAATGGTATGATGATGGACAGTGTGCGTACACCAGGCCTAAGTTCTGGATTTTATAAACTGTAAACAGACATTTTGGTAACTGAAGATGTAGATGAAGCATTAGAACATAGATAAAGCATTAGATGATGTAGAGAAATGATTGTTAATCAGGACATATGAAAATGATATTGTGGATGAGTAAGAAAATGTACTCATTTTCTTAGAACATTCACAGTGAAATGTCATGAAGTCTCTAATTCAAATTAAAATAATTCACCAAAATTTCCAGAAGATATATTTGGCAAAACATTAGAGATTGTTCTATTGGTGATGAAGATTTGGGAGTTAATTTCCTTATTCTAGTTATCATTTCACTTTACTTCTCAAAAAATTCTTATAATAAAAAAGTTAAACATGAAAGCACACACATTTATGCATCATTAGTAATTAAGCTGATTTGGTGACATTTGTCCTGGGAAAAAAGGAAGCCCAAACTTCCCATCTTACCATAGGCAAAGGCTGAAAATGAATGGTATTAATTTTCCTTTTAAATTTTTTGTTTCATGTTTATTGGTCTGTGAAAATCCAATTCATATAAATAAAACCTTTAAAAGTCAGTGAGAAGAATCCTTATTTACTCAACCGCATGTTCCAACACTTGCAATGTCCCTGTGCTCTTACCTGGATGTTCTCTTTCCAGTACAGAAGTTATTTTAAAAATTGGGTTAATTTTTTGTCGTACCATATTTGATAGGGTTCAAATATGGTAATACCTACAAGGGTGATTAGAGGCCACCCCAAAAGCCTCTATACCTCTCGGAAAGACTGGCAAGCTACCGAGAGTATTCCGCCCGCACGGAAGAGCCTGGCAAGCTATCCGCTGTGTATTCGATATGCCAAAACCAGTAACTACAACTGGTCTCATTCACCTGACCCTGAAGGCTTCACCGACATGGCAACACTGAGAAGGATGAGAAAGGAGAGGCCGACAAAATCTCAAGGCCGACCTAGGCTGCCACAACGAAGGAAGACAAAAATGATCGTCTGTACTTTCAATGCACGTACGCTAGCATCAGATGCATCCATCGAGGACCTGGTGGTACAAGCGCGAATGATCAAGTACGACATCATTGGTCTGACCGAGACAAGAAGGCACGAATCTCACCATGCTGTTTTCGACACCGGAGAAGAATTGTTCCTCGGAACATGCGATAAAAGAGGTGTTGGAGGCGTCGGTGTCCTTGTCAACACAAACTTGGCCAAGAGCCGAGAACGCCATTCAGGTCTCCCAAAGAAGAATAGAAAGAGCTATGCTTGGAATAACACGTTTCACTCAAATGAGAGAACGAATCCGGAGTTCTGACATCCGTCGACGATCAAGGATCAGGGACGCTGTCTCATATGCCAAGGTGTCGAAAATCAGATGGGCTGGTCACGTAATGAGATTTAAAGACGACCGTTGGACTAGAGCTGTTACTGATTGGATTCCTCGGGATGTCAAGAGACCGCGTGGCCGCCCACCTACCAAATGGTCAGACTTCTTTGTCAAGATCATGAACGATCGGTTTGAGGCCCTCCATGTTCCCGGAGCGAAGAGATGCCATTGGGCTACACTAGCACGCGACAGGGACAAATGGAGACGTTACTGGCGCCCGCTCGAGCAAATCGACGACTAACGGGAAGTTAAGTGATTAAGTTAAGTGGGTTAATTCTAATACCTAAAAACAAGTATCTGTTTTACTGATCTTCCTTGATAGTAATTATATCTATATTATTTAGACTTTCCCAAGCCTTAGACAGCTACAGTTTGGTGAATAACATTTGGTTAGAACATTTTGGTTATCTTGATGTCAGCAAATTCTTTATTCAAAGCTTATTTTAAAATGAAAAAAGTATCTCATGGTGGAAGAGGCTTGGCTGGACCCAGCACAAAACATCCATGAAGTGCCAAAACAGTCACTTTCCTACAATTACAGTCAGGGAACCTGATTCCTCAGATTGACTAAGCCAAAAGGGATAAGGTACCACGTGTACAAAGAATCATTCTTTAGCTTAAGTGTGCCCCATCAATATTTAGGAGATACTTAGACTCAAAAAAAAAATCGTTCACCAAAGGAACAGAGGTTATGCTGAATACTCCATTCATTCAATCCTAAGCACCACATGGCCTCCTTAGCACCATTGTATGTAACCTGGAGGCGTCCAGTACAGGTATGGTGGCTCTGATGGTCCCTGGCATGGTTATGTCCAATCAGCACCTGCATCCTGGGGCTCTA